CACAGGAAATAGGTTTTTTTTGAGACATAGGTTCCATCCGAGGTTAATTGGATTAAAAGAACAAGTAAGTGCTTGTCTTGTGTGTATTTATCAACTGTATGTAATATTTTTTCTTATTTCATTTGTTTCAAGATTATAATTATTTTGAGCTGACGTATAATATAAAAACTTAAACTTTACATTGATGTTAACACTCATTTATTAAAATCTGACGTTTTCCTATAACCAAGTTAATTGTTGACTTATTTGTTGTGACTCTTCTACATTTAAAGATTTTTACGCGAATAAATTAAGAAAAGATTTAATAATTTTATGTTTAATTATAGCTATTACCTATGATGGAGGAGTACCTGTCGAGCAGCTTCCATTCCTCGTAATTGTCAAAGTCTTACGAGAGTCTGCAGACACACTCACATGTCCTGGCGTCCTCATTAGAGATGACTACGTTGTTATGAGTTTTCAGTGTGTATCCAAAGATATGTACGATTACATTCATGTTAATGATTATGGCTACGGGATTATTGCTGGTGCCTTCTCACACAATAAAAAAAATGTACAGAAGATTCATGCCTCCAGAACTTTTGCTTTTAGCAAGGTTCTGTTTCCGTAAGAAATTTATCTGTAAGGTTCTACAGGAATACAAGAAAAGAGTCAAAATTTAAGGCAATCAACGTAGGATGTTTGTTTGAATCGCATCGTAAAGATCCATGTTGAGTAAAAAAAAATTAACAAAAAACTATGAGTTCCTTGTTAAGAAATCATTCATTTTTTTGTCTTACTGCATGGTTTTACTCTTTTGGTTGTATGTGAATCGTTGTTATTTGTTAATTATTTTAGAATATGACTATTTTCATCCTGTTGATCCTTTTAATGGTGTAAATTATAGTTGATTACAGTCAAATTCAAATTTGCAAATGATTCTAGATTCCCGTACACTACCATTGTTATCTTGCGATTGGAACAAAATGTACAACTCGGTGAAAATGTGCAAGTCATAAATCTTCCAGAATCCAATGAAGTCATCGACACGAACGTAGATATCACCATGATTGGCTATGAAAATAATTCTGAAATTAACCTTAGACCAGTATCTCACAAAGTTCGAGCCATTGACAACGATTTGTGTAAACTGAAGGTTAATAAAATCCATCCAGGTGATGATAAACATCATGAGCTGGTTTTTTGTATCCCTACCTCAGGAGTGACAGAAGTAAGTTTTTACGTTACACGTGTATGACGAAAAATCTTTCCAGAAAAGTTTTTCATAATTTTTTAATTTTTTAGCATTACTATTGGGACATTTTCATTCAAAATAATAATGGCAAGCAAACACTGGTTGGAATTCAAGCTCGTGGAGAGATTATCTTTCAGATTTCTAACTATACCGATTGGATTAGGAAGGCTATCACAGGAAAAATCTATACCATACAGGGGCCGCGGAAAAGTTTTTTTTGAACAGTTAGAGTGAGTCCAAAAATAAAAAAATATTGCAAAAAATTCAACAGTGTGTATACAGCTTATAATAAAAACAATAGTTACATCGCTCGGATTTTAAAGTTTAAGTTACGTTATGATCGTATCATGGGTGGTCATAATATTAGATTTTTGGCTTTGACCTTGAGGGGAATCCGGATATCATATACCTCACCGATCACGTTGTTTTTTGAAGTATATTTCTTTCTTGCAAAAAGGAGAGTCAGCACCGATCCTTTCAGTGTCAAAGAGCCCACATTTGAGTTGATGGATTAAAAATTCTCAGGGAAAAATGGAAAATATAATTTCAGATCAGTCGTATAAGATAAGAGTTTTAATGCAAAAATAATTATCAAAAATACAAGAAATTGAATGAGATCAGCTGAAGAAAAATTAAAACTTTTTAAAAGTTACATCGTTTTAATAAAAGCTGATTATGTCTTTGTAACGTCACGACTGTGTCGACCAATAGCGAGAATATTTTGTGTCTCCGATATCCGATTTAATTTTTAATAATTATTTTTCCAATGTAAATGGCATTGAAAATATTTTTGGAAAAAAAATACAATGGAAATCTAAGGTTCTACAATCAAAAAGTAATTCATTTGAAAACCATGAGAACTGCAATATTTATTCAGAAAAGCAAAGAGAAACAACATTTTAAATGAATAATCTGATTGAAAACTGCAATACACTTCCATCCTCCCCAAGACACACGTGCAATCTCTTTCTCCTCGGTACGCCACATCTTCAGCCAGTAGATCGATGATATTTATGCTGATCAACGCAATACCCAACCTTTGGCCGTAGTATCTACCCGTGTGCAGCAGAGTGTAAATATGGTTGCCAGCTTGATTCTACGGTCCATTCACTCAATGTGTGCCCCGCTACAGGTAGCCAGAAGCTACGCAGAAGTTCTAACCAAGTCCATTTTGGATCACAATGTGATACCTCTGTCCTCTGCGAGAAGATGGGAGGAACCAGAGAGAAGGGGAGGTGGAATTCCTCTGATCAACACGACACACTGCTGACACTGATGCCGACATCACTGCACGTAGGGAACTCTGGAAGATGGAACTTCCCTCTCTTGGGTGATTACATCTGTGCACATAGACCTACACCCGTATCAATGCTTTGGGAAATGTGCCGTATACCCAAAGTATGGACTAATAATGCGTCTATATAGTCTTACGAATGGATCGTACAATATCCCAGCCATCTATTTTCTCTTGTCCTTTGTCTTGCAGTATGTTTGGATCTTTTGTTTTCTAATTGCCCATTTGGAACGCTTATAATGTTATGGTTAAAAATCTCCAAAACTAATGGATTTAGATATTAGAGGAGGTGAAAAAATTTATCACCCAAACTCAGCTTTCACCATTACCCATCATCACTTCTACATTGATGTGAGTTTACTATTGCTTATCAACGTCTTGAAAGGAAAATATACTACGATTACGATTTTTAAAGTTTTGAAAAGGTTGTCTTTAAACTGAATTAGTCAGAGATTTGGTCTTTCCACTTTTAATGATTTTTCCTTCTAGGTTACGGAACTTGTCAAAGGTACTAAGTTAAAATTGTTTATTAGCGAATTTTTACTGATGCAGATTGAGGAAGTACCGACAGTATTGTACAGGTTTCAGTGAAAAAAGACACTATCTCATAAGAGCAATTAATTGTTTATTTTTTTTATTTTTTTTTTACTAGTATCATCTTTAATTAAGTTAGGAGATATCACTTTCAAAACAATACTCCCTTCAACGAAAATTCGACTAATAACTATAACGAAACTTAATATTATATTGATGCTTTTTTCTATGACTATTTACTATGATGATAATGTCTGTAGGTTGACAGAATAATCTTGAGACTGGCTATCGTATTTAAAAGACTATGAAGTTGGAGTCGCTGTGAGCCTTGACATTGTAAAGATGTAATCTTCCAAGGCGTTACCTTGTTTTATTTTTTTTTCTTTCATACAAACTTACGTCGACTTCTTTAAAAATTCAACAGAATCATTCTTATTGTTTTGCTGGGCAAATAAGGACGAAAATTTAATTAGTTAACACAAAAAGAATCCTTTTACTGCGGAGACTCGAGTAAATTAAAGAAAGCGACTCTTGAAAATCTACGAGGGCCTGCTCCCACTGAATACCATAAAAATTTACGAGACTCGTAAGTGAGAGTATAAAAGCGATGTTGAGCTGCTGCCGTAAAGCCCTGACGAAAAAAGCCAACAAAAGTAGAACCGCGATTGTAATGAAAAGGGAAAAAGGACAAATAAATAAAAAGAGGTTTTAGAGAAGGCATGCCATGGAAATGGAAGCAACAAAAACAGGGTAAAGGAGAAAGAGCAACGTACTCAAATTCCGGCATAATTTAGTATGCATACGCCATACAGCTGTGCTATGCGTAGTGGCCACCCTTACTTTCTCTCTCTCTTTCTCTCTCTTTCTCTAAAAAATCCGCGGCTCTTTTTGCTTTAATTGTCACCATTCAGGAGATTACTGCGTGACCAACCTAGCAAATAGTTTTTCTTTCCCCTCCTGCTTTGATTACCCTCCGTCTGAAGATTCTCAACCAACATAAGAAACCATAACAGAGAGTAAATGAAAAAAAAGATGATAGAAAGATCAGTAGGGGATTTTCGTAATAATAGACCTACATTGTCAAAAATTAAAGAAAAAAAAAACGACAGTTCCAATCAATGATAATTATATGCAACGAAACATCGAGAGTAATCTTGATACTGTCTGGTCTTGTTTTCCTCATGAAGATAATAATTGAGACAAAACACATTTGGGTATCAGTTTTCTATCGTTCTCAGAATTTATAATTTTTGCATTATTTCTTGTTACTTACCTTTTTAAGCTTGACTTTTATCCTCGAATAGGATTCATCAAAATTTTTGGTTAATCTTGGAACATTCAATTGCAAAGACAGTATTGGGAATCAATTAAAATTTATGTTCCATGAAATGTAACGCTTAGCACTTTCGTCAATGGTAAGCAATTCCCATTTCAACCTTCGTAACTGCGATTAAGCCTAGTTGCATTTGCTTTTTTTCAAGATTGGATAGCCAATCGTTACAAAGGCTTCCTCATGGTTTTTGTTTTTCTGTCTAAAAGAACGCATAACAGTTGATCCCAATCCCTGGATATAGAGGAAAATTTCTCCAAAAATGAGAGAAGGAAATTACAATTGGCTGCATACCTTGGAGAAATTATTACAATAGCATTGCAGAAATTATTATGCAAGAGAGTTTTGAAAATTTATTGCAATACGAGAAGCTCGAGGGATTAGCTCCGATGGCGTATGCTGTTACCACTGTTAGCTTTGTTGTGCTTGAAGTTGCTCCTTCAGATTGTGCGTAAATTGTAAGTTTTTTTTGCCTCGTAAGTTGTGGCATGGGTTACTGGGTAAGTGTAAGGGAAGCAGCTCAGGTAGCAGCGATCGTGTAGTGAACTGATATCAATTAGATGGTAAGTAAATGTAGGTATTATTGTGGGACACTGAAGGTTACTCACCTATTGTAGTAGTAGTCCCTGTAACAGAAAAACATTAAAAATTTAATTAAGAGCAGGATCATGATTGATTTTATTTATTTTGTTTATGACGTACCAAGAAGTAAATAAATTCTAGTGTATTTATTGTATTTCAGTTATAATTTAAACTTGTTTCATAATCAATGTTTTCATAACAGTGTTGAGAACGGTAATGACGATAAGACAGCTTGCATAAATCTTTCATCGTAAGTTCAGTTGTGTGCACTATGCCTTGAAAATACATAGAGGATCAGAAAACAAGAGAAAAAAAAAAAAAAGACGCAAGGGAGAATGGAGTGACTCAAGTCCTCGATAGAGCTGCCTAAAATCGGTACAGACGAGTTACACCACCGAAAGTGCTCCCGAAAACAAGAATGAGAAGAAGACGTGAGAATCTGCGTTCGCTGGACGGCCAAGTGGCTGAAACTTTTTCTCCCGACCACCAAAGCCAAGAACCCCATTGTACAGCCATGCTGTGTCTTGCTTGCTGTCTCCATCCCTCCATCCTGAGAGAGAAAAAGAGGGAGATTACACGGTCCTTGCCTGCTGTACATAGACGTAGAGGCAGCTGTCTCGAGCCCTCATTTGCGCCCGAGGCTCCTCGTCGCGTGAGAGTCAGTGTCTCCTTCTGTCCTAAATACGTGATTTTCTCGGCGTGTGATACGAGCACTCAGCCCTAGGTGCTTATACTTCTTCCGTGAAGTAGAAAATGCTGTCCTTAGGGGACGTGCCTTACCGACTAATCCACTTTGAGTTTCCGTGGATACGTTTATTACAATAGGGTGTAGAGATGGTGTTGGTATGGACGAGATAGTTTCTACGGCTGACGATGGATTATTCTTGTTTCAGAGGCAGATTGTCGTCCAATTATTGGGTACGGTGGATAAGGGACTTTTCAAAAGCTATGGGACAGGACCAGTATAACTGTTTATATCAAGGATAAACTGATTTTTTTTTTTTTTTACTTCAATTAATGATAAAATTCATAAAATTATGAAAATTTTTTTGGAAAGTAATGGGTCACTTGAACATTAATTTTTTATAGGCAGTTTTAACACTTAATGAGACAGGTTCAAGATATTTTTACACATTACTTTCCGAAAGTGTTGAGTTCCTAAATGCATCAACACGCGTACTTCGTAGGTATAAGTACTACTTATCAGTGGAAAACTTTGTGATTTTCTAACTTACAATGTTAGTAAAAGTTAGTTAAAAACAAAAAAAAAACAATGTAAGAAAAATTTTGGATTGTGATGTTAAACGACGCTTGACTTTTCACTTAATGGGGCAGAGAGACGAAAACGAAATGAACGAAATTAGGAAGAATCTGAATAAATTTGCATCTCGGAACTGAGCAAGAGACCAACAGAGGTAAGAAAAGAAAGAAAGAAAAAAACTCGAGGAATAAAATGGGACTCGTAGAAATAGCCATAACAGAGGTTGGGAAAAAGAAAGGAGTCAAGGATGGCAAGTGAGAAAACATAGGAAACCGAATGTCTCGGAAAAGATAAACAGCGAAATTACATTTACATTAAAGAGCTGGCAAGTGAAGATGTAACAATTGTTGGGTAAATGAGAAGATAATGACGTTATATACATAGGATATACATGAAAATTCTGACTCGGTCGAAATTTTTTCACACGACATTTTGCTTAGCGAAACAAAAACCATCATCGTAAATCGATAAATCATTCATCATCGTTTGCATCACGAAAAACATTATTTCTTCTTCACAAAAAAAAAAAAAAAAAAAAAAAATCAGAGCATAAAAAACGATGGATCATTGTTCTATGCTCTAATAAAGTTCTTGCATCTCACAGCAGTTGCCACAGAAAAAGGCTAGAAATGTGTGATCCTCGGGCACAACTGAGTGCATAATAAATGCTCCGTAGCCTAATCTTGCACTAGAATCATGACAAATTGCCGTGACGCCAGCATGAGTGTGCGAAGAATGGGGTTAAGGGAAGAGGGGAAGGGGCGGAAAATTCATCAGTAGAGCCTGTGGAGCAGCGGAGAGCAGTATAGGGAAAGAAGAAGGGGAACGAAAAAGTGGATTGGTATGTGTGCGGTTGAGCGTGGGCTTGGTTAGTGTGGATAGAGAAGGAGGTGGCAGGGATGCCATTTTGAGAAGACATGCTTATCTGCCTTCTTTTTCCATTATTTCGTGTAGGGGCTTATTTTTTTAATAAATACATACTAGTGACTCCAAAATTTCACTTGAGCACAAAATAAAAAGAGTTATATTATGTAATCCGTCCTAGTTTTTTCAGTTAGTTCGAATAATAACGTTGATGTGCGTTTTAAGAGGCTTATGGTAAGAGGTGCATCGCTATGTAGATGTACAAAATTCGTTGAAATAAAATTTTTTTTTCATATGAGGTATATGCCTAACACCAAACACCTAAAGGTTATTGAACTCCGTTTCTGAAATGACATTTATGTCTTAGAAAAAATAAAATTCTTCCTCTTCAGTATTAAAAGAAATTATTGAAAATGTTTGTGGCAAGCATGCAAGTGGTAATAAAGACTGCTAGAAAAAAATTCCGAGAAAGGAATTTTACACTTATCGTGTACTGCATGTGATTCGTGTACAACATATTATTATTTTCGAATGCACTCACAATGAGAGCAAAAAAATGTTAAACCTTGCGTATTTCACAGTTTGTGGGAAATTAACTCACAAGCACTGCCCGGAAATTCTGCGTTTTGGGCAAATGTGTGGATGGCACATAAATGTAACGAAAAAGAAAGGGAGAATGGAGGGAAACAGATATTGAGCCGAGCTTTTTTCACGACAGAGCTATAACTCGTGTTAAAAAGAATTCTTTATTACATTAATTAGAGGAAAATTCTCTTAATCTAATTTTTAAATATGTACAACGTAATCATCTAGGTTTACCAACTTTAAAAATAAAAAAATGGTTAGCAACTCACTCGGTTACTACGTGTCTATATATTAAATAATAAACGTATTTTCTAGAAGTACTCATGATGACAACAGTCAGTCGTTGTGTAAGGCACGCGAGTGAGGGTGTGTCTGGGTGGATACGTTTCTCGGACAATAGGGAACGAAACATGTACAGTCATTAGAGGGATGTTATAACATTTTAATGGTTATTGCGTGCTGGCTGGCTATCCCGAAAACACCTCATGTGTGATCCCACACAAATGCTGTAGCATATGCATTGCCTATCCATGGCCCACTTTTATCTCTGATCTTGTTGTTCAATTTATTCATATCTTTTTTTTTTTTTTTTTTTTTCCACATTCCATGCATGCATCCTTTCCTTTTATGTCCTCCGAACATCCTGCGTATCCTTGGTAACGTGGAGACTCTACATGCTTGTACGGGTTTTTGAGCAAAAATTAAGCAAGCTATTTCATTTATAAAACAAAACGAACGACTGTTTTCAAAACGTGGAAGAGAAATGATGAGTTATAAACGAAGGATTTTCCAGGAATGAGCTCACTGACAGCATGATATAGAAATAATCAGTCAAGCTTAGTTAACGCTTTGTAATTTTATATGTAGTTTTAACAGATTACATTTATGTGGACAGAAGCGGCACTTTCCGGACGTTATATTAAAAAAAAGACCATCGAGAAGCTATGTCTGACCAAACACGGACTATACTACTTAAAATCATTTTTTGCATTTTTTTACCTCTTCTTTCAAACTATTCGATTTGGCTTTTAAAAATGGATTAGTTGATTAACTTTTCGTCTTTTTTTTAAAGTAAATGTACATGCTTTGGAAAAAATGGTTGAGCAATTAAATAAAAACCACAAAAACTGTTGAGGGAGCTAAAAGCAAGAAAACTGCGAATTGCGGCAAATTGGTCGGAAGCTCACTTTCAAGCCCAGTTTTTGTTCGTGAGTGCAGTTTCAAGTTTAAGTCCACCACTCGATATATGTCGAACTTTGCTGGTCCCCATTGTGCAACAACACCAGCAGCATTAGCGGCAGGGGTCCATTCGGACAGGCTCATTTACTCCGTCTCTCTGAAGCTTTGCTCCTCTACTTTTTTAACTCAACCACTGGTCTGCGTCGTCGTGTACTGCATTTGCGCGTGAAAGCACCGAAACTGACGACGGCTGTGTTTGTACGGATGGTATAATCTCTCACTCGAGTGTTCGCCGTAAATCGAAATTTCAGAAACGTATCAACAATATAGTTTGAAAAATTTCAACGCCACGATATCATTTGTACACACGAAACAACACGAGTTTAAAGTACCATCCACGCTGCAATAAAAAAAAACTACAACAACAACATCTGAAGTAACTAGTCGCAGCAGCAGTAGCCGAGAATTTGCTCGCCAGTGGGCGAAAGAGGATGCAGATAGTATAGAAGCTTGGAATTACACGTTTGCGTACAAACAGCGATCCTCTCTAGGATAGCTGTACTTGCTGTGTATGCTACCGAGCATATTTGCAAACAACGCGAGAGAGAGATAGAGGAGGTGGAGGTGGTCAACATTTCACCACCATTACCATTCAATTACTCGATAATACCGATTCTCCGTGGAAATAGAGAGAGAGAGAGAGAGAGAGAGAGAGAGAGAGAGAGAGAGAGATAGGTAAACCTGGGGCTCTGCCGCTGTACGAATATTGGCGCTTCGAGTATGCGACGACACAATAGGAAAGCTTCTGGGTGTATACCCACATGCACTATAGAAATGCGTACGCGTCGGGGGGTGTGTTATACTGTTTTAAATGTCACATTTGCAGTGGTTTGGATTCTTGTTCACGGTTGTAGGTTATTCGAATTAGTAGTTGGGGTGAATTTTTAGATTTTTCATTGACAAATTACGAAATCAAAGTTCTCCTGATCCAGTATTTCTGTCGTTTGAGAAAAAACTTCATTGCCGATCGATAAAGAGTTGAGATCTTTAATTTCAAATCATTTTTAAGTTTCGTTAAGCGACGTCATTTAGAATGAGAAATGATGATTTTTTTGCTTAACAAAATAAATCTGCGGTCAAAAAAAGTGCAAGACG